TTGGATGGACAAACATTTTCTTTCACTATACTCTAGTTTGCTGTAAATAAACTAAAACTGGAACGATACAGAGAAGAGCAGCATGGCGCATGGCGCACGCCAAGAAATCCGTGAATCACTTTCTTTATATTGGACTTGACAAACTTCTGCAACTGCCTATTCCCCTTAACTAGACCTAAGCTCATAATAGTAATTTCTTTTGTGAATTTTATTCATGTGGCCTTTACTATATTATGCTCTATTCAATAGAGTGTGATAGAAAATTTATAGCGATGAAAAGAGGGGTGGAGCAAGCTGGATTTTTCAAATTGTTTATGTTACCCACATAATGTGGGTGTAGAGAAATTGTCTATAGACTCGTTAATCGTTCCTCTCCACGGATATCTTTAGTAAAAGGCGAAAGATATATTCGTGGTTTGAAGAGAAACCAGAGTAACTCAACATGTTTTAACAATAAGTATACTACATAATATAAATATTTTCTGAGACAAGGTGTTTGCCGAAATATACTTTTTGCAAATATCACTAAATTCTACTCAATATAAGTGTCTACAAATGCTACATATATGTCGTAGAACCAAGTTTTCTAATTTTGAATTTGACAGATTTTTCATATTTTTTTCTGTAGAAACATGATCATATTACAACCGAATGGAGCCAAAGCGATGTACACACACAGTATAACGATTATACAACGTATGCGTAATGAAAAAATATATGTCGCTTTGTCAAAGCACGGCACGTTTAGCTTTAGAAAATAAACTATTGGATGGACAAACATTTTCTTTCACTATACTCTAGTTTGCTGTAAATAAACTAAAACTGGAACGATACAGAGAAGAGCAGCATGGCGCATGGCGCACGCCAAGAAATCCGTGAATCACTTTTTCTTTATATTGGACTTGACAAACTTCTGCAACTGCCTATTCCCCTCTTCGAATAAACTATTGTGCATTTTTTAGAGTGAACTTTCATTTTCTTACTCAAGAATTTAGATAGTTCATTATTTGTGTACCTTCTTGCTCTTCTTTAAGGTTTATACATTAAACAAAGAAGGAATAAATGGGGGTGGTGTATGAAAATAACAGGAAGGACAGTGTCTGCACAGGGACTATATCTGTAGACAACGAAATCAAAGCGGAATAATTATGTTTTGGACCTTACTTCATCCCGAACGTCAAAATCCAAAATCGAATATTAAAAATATGTTGTTGACTCAAATGAGACAAAATACAAAAATTTGTGCAAAATCTGGTGATAGCTGGTTAATAAAATCAATTGGTGTGAGTTGTCTTTTGTAGACGAAATGCCCGTATGTCGTACAAAATTATAAACCTTTATGTTTGATGATTTTTTTGGTCATGATTGTATGAATGCCATTGAGACAACTATTGACAGACTTCAGATGACGGAGATAACAGCAATTAGAGGTTATCGTACGGCCTTCAAAAATGAGAAATATCATACCGTATAGTAAGGCATAAAAGGCCCAAAAATGAAAAATGTGAAACAATTCAAATGAGAAAACTAACTGACCAATTTTACAATACAATTTACGAAAATCAAATATGACAAACGTGAACCAAGGACAACCACTGAATAGCAGGCTCCTGACTTGAGGCAGTCACATAAAAAATGAGGCGAGGTTAAACATGTGTGTGACCGCTCAACCCTCCCCTTACCTGGGACCGCGGTGTTACAGCACATCATAAGAACAAACTGTTTTTAGGCAAATCCATGTACTGACATTGGGTTAAAAGCAGCGACACAACACTAAAATCTTGTTCATGTATTAGCATGATAAGTGTAATGATCACATACATTTTCATGATAATGCCACGTATAAGACCGTGAGGGAATCCGAAGTCATGCTCTCTCTCTCTCTCTCTCTCTCTCGTCGCATGGTTTTTCTGATTTGGTATTAAAAACAGCTTACAACATGCATTCAATGACGCTATCGAGTGCAAAATCGTATCATTTATCTTTTCAAATAAATTTTTTTAAATCTATTTTATTAATATAATTTCATGAAAATTATTTTTAAGACTTTTTTTTTGTATTATCAAGGATTTGTATAGTGAGATCTTACTATACAAATCCTTGGTATCATCAAAATGTTTTGACGGGAGAACAAGTATATCAGTAAAAAAGTCATGAATATCATTGTACGCAGATGAACTCATGATTTGATGACGTATACCAGCTTCAGCAGTCAAAGGATAAAACAAGAGGCGTCACTGGTTACATCATCGATTGACCGTTTAAATGTCACTTAAATATCAGGGGAGTGCGGTATTTACCTTATTGAGAACGTTGGACTCTGTGTAGACATATTAAAAAATACATGATTGATTTCTTTTGTATAATAACATTTACGGTACCAATTTTACTGTACAAGATGCGCATTATGACAATTAATGTCTTTTTAGTGATACTTGAGGCCAAAATATTTGAAAGTCCAAAACCAAATACAAACGTTGAAAAATTTTTGGCATAAAAAAAAAAAAACATCAATGCCCATTTATATATATACTGTCAATATTAATGAAAAATCAAATCCGTGATAAAACATGATTTTTACTGGTAAGGAAATTGAGCACTTAAAAAGTTTTATGGTTCACAAGTCCCAATGTCTTCAAATTATTGTGAAATCGAGTAAAAATTAATATGATATAAGGCTTGACTCCTTCCCCCTTCCCCTAATTCAAATGTTGAACTATCCACTACTGCTTTAGATTACCGAACCAAAACTGCCTATGTAAGTTACCTTTTACGATAGAACTGTTCATTTAGACGAGTTAAACAACTATCATTGTAAAGATTGTAACAATTTTTTTATAGGATCATAACAAGATTAAGATAAAGGACGAGTCCTTTTTTTTCAATTATATCTATTAAGAACAAAAAAAAACCCATATGAACAGCGTTAAAAAAAGTGTGTAGGCTGTGGATTTTTTAAAAACGGAAAATCACCCCATACTATAGACATAAGCAAAGGTCACATGCGTATAGATGGTGACTTGGACTTCTCCGGTCTCGGGGAGGTTGTTTGTTTGACTGTTTTATACACAGTCACATCTGTTCGGAATGCGAACATTTATTAAATTCTTTATCAAGCGTTCGGAAAGTGCCTTGAACCTTTCTCTTTTTTTTCCAAGTTGTCCTATTCGACTCTCTGCGCCCACAAAACCTAACGCATTTATCAACCGTTATTCATGGTATTGTCCTTGATGCTGCTAAAATATTTGACACTGGACGTAAGAAAATAATTGCATGTTACTTCTAACTGTCTACATGGAGATGGAATTCTGTATGACTTATTCGTTAGCCTTCAGATATTGGGATCATCCGAGTTAACAGTACGTCAGTACTTTGATTCTTGAAGATTATCACAATCATACTTAACGGAAATATACCTTTTTCATTGACAATAGAAATTTTGTGATCTATAAGTAACGGCATATGTTGTATACAAATGGTAAATCTGTACAGACTCCCGCCTTCTTTCGCCAGGTGGTCCAACTTTATCTCAAATAATTGCCCAGTTTAGAGTTTTACTTGAAAATTAACATACTAGAAATTCAACTTTACCATGTTGACAGTAAGGACTGTCCTCTTTGTCATAAAGCTTTAAAAGATAACACTAGATTGGGTTAGATTCAATGAAAAAGTCAAAATATATTATAATATCATTTATGCATATATAAAAAGTAAAAGTTATTTATACATTCAAGGCTATTATAAGCTCTATATCGTGTGGTCAAATATGACAGTGATGTGCTTAATCAGGGTGTGCCTGTTTTATTCAATTATTTTAAGAACTTCGCATAATACTGCAAATTGCAACTTGTACACAACACATATATATGGAAATGCAAATTCATAGATTAAAAAAAGTTAATATAAAGAGAGGGGAGATACAATGTCGGCTATACAATAAATTCAGACAACACTATGAATAAAAAACACAAAGACGAAAACACAAACAATAGACCCCGATCGAAACACTTCAAATGAAAATAAGATGGTACAACACGAACTCCACCGAAACCCGGGGGTGAACTCAGGTGCTCCGAAAGGGTAATCAGTTAGTACTACTGACAAAAGCTCCTGTCTGAAGTATTCCTTAAAATAATAAAGAAACAAGTCGATATGAAGAGGGACGCAGTTAGTTCCCATAGGCTTGCCGGAAATCCGTTAAAAACACCCAAACGTAACAAATATGTTTTAATAGAAAAAAAAACAGAAAATTATTTGTTTGAATCCGAGGTGATATTTCACAAAGTATGATTTTTTCTTTCTTAAGGCAAGATATTTGTATCTGGGTTGGTAGTTTTTAATGAAACAAAGTTGAACTAATTCTTTCTATCTTCCTTTACGTTTAGAATGAGGAGTACTTATGTAGAGATGGCAATGCTTTTTGGGTACTTATGTTTATAACACAGGTATCCAGTAGTAAAGTGGAAGAAAATTCACTTCTTCATGTTGAAATTTCAAAGGAACATAAAACATAATACAAATGTGTTGTTGATTGAAATTTAAAACTTTCAATTTTCTTCAACTCCAGCTGATACAAATTCATACATTTGTATGCTGACATGTTAATTTTTTCTAAAAAAAAAGGTGAAAGTTAATACATTTGTATAATGAATGTTCCGTTATGTTGTTAAAAATCCAGAGACTTAATATAAAAATTTAAGATATCACTATCAACAATAAAAAAATCATCGATGCAAAATTAATTGAATTCGTTCTACTGATTTTTTTGTTGTCATTGAACATGGTAAACTAAAAATGACATTTTAGCATACTGCATTGTTTTTTTTTTCTCGGTTGTATGTGCGTTTATAATCTGCTCCTGAGAATAGAGACGGGTTAGATCAATAAACAGTGATGCTTTACGTTTCAAGGTGGTGCACGTTTGTAATAATGATTGATAATTTGCAATTTCGAAAATAAATAAAACAAAAGTCACTTCCGGACAAATGAAGCTTCGATTTGGATATATTAAAGTTTAAAAAAAAGTTTTAAAACCAAGTAATCGGATTTTGTTTAAGCTAAGGAAAAATGGGTTACCACATTACGCCACTTAGAACTATACTATTTGACTATTTACTGGACATAACATGTCAGCATACAAATGTATGAATTTGTATTATTTTTTCTAGTAAAAAGAGAGAGCAATTACCAAGTTATGTTTGAGGTTTCCAAAGTTTCCAAAGTTGCAAATAGCACAAGAAAATTCTATTTCGAATGACCATGAAATTGTATTACAGTTTCTAGCTACTAGTATTATTTTATTTCATCATGAATTCACCTTTTGAAACAGTGTACACAGAGATTGATCTTCAAGTACACCCAAAAGGAGTATAATATTGTCGCAACAAAACTAAATCAGAGTGAATACAACATGTCTGAATTTTTATCATAAAAATCACAATTTAAAAAAATTTGATTTAACATATGAATGAGCATTAAACACACGATTAGGCTTAGTTTCATAACCGAATAATAAACAATCATTTTCTACAACTTGTTTTAACTTCATTAGTGTTTGTTGTGGAACCGTTGCATACGCTTCGCTTAAAGCATCTTCTTTATTAAGTTTTTTAGAAATATCAGCTTTTGATGATTTATATGCTCTCAAAAAGGACTTGATGAATTTTCTTTTTGTAAATTTGACAACAGTGTCTGCTTTAAATGGAAATACTAAATGACGACTTAGAATCCCTTTCATTTGTAATTGTCTCCATACTCTTAGTACTGCATCAAACATAGTCATACATTTTAGAATTTTAGGTTTGAAATTAAATAGTCTATCTGCAATTTTTATTATTTCATTGATAGATGAGTTGGAATGCATATATTCAAATTTGTTTAAAAGGCCTTTGTCCATTTTGAGGACATCAAAAATAAATTTAGAATCTTTGCTGAACGTCTCCATTTTTCCTACATAATCAATTTTGTGGTCACAAGGTGCACAGTGTTCATACATTGAGAAAAAATGACGGTCTCTCATGTCCGGTGTCTTTTCCAATGCAATTATATAATTGATAAATTCGGCAAATGTGACGTCATGGCCACATGAACTGTCAGCTTCGGGGTTACTTAAGCGTTTTGCAGGAATGCCGGCAGCCTTCCAATACATAACGTTTGGGTTAAACAATTTATCTATATATCCCGAAAACAGTCGATTATAAGGATCTCGAACAAACAAGAATTTAAAATAATGTTTAAATTTGTCTTCCGCTACACCAAGATTTAAAATACTCGGTAGTCCTTTTGTTCCAGGTGTTGTTTGATTGAATATGATCCTTTTCCAGAACGTTGAAGCTGCCTTTTGAATTTGGCAGAATATCAAATTATGACGATCACTAACAAATGTGTTGAATATGTAAGGATTCCTCTTCGACTTATGTCTGAAGGCATTTGGTTTCTGTTTACAAATTCTCGACAATCTTTCTAGTCTTTGTTTATTATCTGAATAGATAAGCTCTGTATTCGATACCTGTAATACAAGTATACAATTTTGAATCAAATAATTAGAATAACTGTTCAAATATTGGTCAATTTTGTTTACTTCTTGTTTTTTTCCGTGCATTTATGGAAGTACTATAATGATCAATTTAATACTACCATGGTACAATTAAGCAGGAAAAAGGGACAGGAAAGACACACCAAACTGTATGGCTAGAACTGGTTATAACATATTTTGCTTCATTTTCCCCCTCATTATTGGGCGTATTTCACAGTGGTGCGGTCATACAAACCATGTTCGAGTTAATTAGATCAAATTTAATGTTTCTTAATTATCCTTTAAAATAAATGTTAAATCTGATGTCTCGTTTAGGGAACGTAACACGATCTCTGTGAGTGTAAGAACCCTACGAAGTTGACTGGTCAGTTGTAAGAGACAATTGCACCTATAAAATTGGATTTTTTTGGGGGGGAGGGAATTTGGTCGTGTCCTGCATAATTATTATGCATATAATATTTGCTAGTTGTAGAGTCAACTCATCCATTTCTGTATTTAAATTGTAAAAAAGTCTGGATGTATTCATATACACTTGCTCTGCAATAAAGATTAGTGCCATCATCAATCGTTTTCTCTAAATTGCAACAAAGAGACCTTTTGTAACCAGAATTCATAAACGTTTCTCTATACTAGTCTCTCACAGAGGTACCTATCAGTAAGTTAACCATTGGTAATCAATCTAAGGTCCTTATCCAAACGTAGCCTAAGTATGCATTTTAGATATGTGCGTATAAAACCTGCGCACAAGATTTTAGTGTGTAAATTTTAATTCTCATTGCATAGTTTTTAATCCTGTGTGCTATTTTTTATTCTCAGTGTGTATTTCATGTTTTATTTATATCAGTGTGTTTCTTTTTAAAAATCACAATGTGTAGTTAATAATTTTCAGTGTGTGATTTTAAGCTTTTAATTTCAGTGTATGAATTAAAAGAAATGTCTTAAACATAATGTTGACAAGAAGGGTTTACAATAGAGACTGAGCTCAAACTACGATATTTACGAAACTTAGTAAAACATTTTGAATTTCGGATCTTGACGAATTCATCCGATCTTTCTTACGAATAGTCCTGATTGATATGTAAAGACTGTAGCTCTCAGTTTACAATTTTTGTGTTGTATTCAGGTCCTTCATAACATTAAAAAAAACGGAATTTTTCCGTTAAAATAGTTAGGGAAACCCACTAGTGTACCCTCCAAAACTAAATAAATAAATAAAGATAAAAACAAAGATATCAAAGAGTGTTTGAAAATCTTTTTTTTTCTTTTGCTAAATTTGAAAATATATAAAATGACATAAAAAAATTGCGAGTTCAGAAATATGGGATAGTGTCACAGTCAAATAATAAATGATATACTAGTAGTTCATTATTAACTTTTCAACTTGAATACTTCTAGTGGTCTTTTTCGGCAGGGTAAAGAAGAGCTAATCAAAAAGTCCTTAAAGGCAAAATTTAAACTACAAAATTCCATGTCAGCTTGTAATCCAAGTATTGATACTGCAATTCATTTATATGATCACACAATAAAACCAATTTAATTATATTGTAGTGAAATTTGGGGTACATTTAAGATTAACTCAGCTGCTTGCAAAAAAAAAGTGATTATCTATTTGAATTAATTTACATAAATGATTATTTGGAAAAATCACATTTCAGATATCTAAAGTATATTCTTGGTGTAAATAAAAAAAGCCTCAAATTTGGCAATGTTATCAGAGGTTGCAAGATTTCCTCTTTATTTTTCTGTCATTATATCTATGGTAAAATATGTACACATGCTTAACAAATTGGACGATGGTTTACTTTATGATGCTTATGTTTGTAATAAAATTTTAGATGCAGGAAACATTAATTGTGGTATTCATCTATGAGATATGTACTTCAATCACTTGATATACAAAATTTGAATACAAAGCTCAATAAATTAACTAAATTTGAAAAATGTAAACTTTGTAACAGTTTTAAAACATTTTTGGGTGGTCAAAAGATCTGATACCTTATCACAAGGTAATAGTAAATTAGAAAATTATTTCAACCTCAAGACTGACTTCGTACAGGAGGCTTATTTATCAATTAAAGATTTTAATATAAGAAGAGCTATATGTAAATTAAGAATAAGTGCACATGATCTTAAAATTGAGAAAGATAGATATAGTAAAAAATACATAGAGAGAACTCAGCGTCTATGTCATCACTGCCTATCACATGGATCAAATTCTATTGAAGATGAGACCCATTTTACAGTAAGTTGACCTTTATATAACGAACAGAGAAAATTATTATGGGATAAAGTAAACAGTTTTTGTACTAATTTTAAAGAATTACCCAAGGATAAAAAATATTTCTGGCTGTTCACAAATGTGCATTTACCAACTCTTATGTGCCTAGGCAATTATATTATTAAGTGTTTAAAAATAAGATCCAGGTGAATACAAAATATATAATATATAAAATAATATTTAATTATTATGAAATTATTGTAATAGTTATGTAAGACACATGATGTGTTAGGCTCTGATCCTGTCCATAACATGATATTATATTAGGATCTAGTTTTTCTTTTTTCCAATCATATTGTGCATAATATTGTTGTAAATGATGCCCTTTATGGGTTCTTGATTAGATTAATAAAATTCTTATCTTATCTTATCTTACCTTAATACTGAAATATAAACTTCATTATTCATTATTCATTATTAAACGTTAAATAATGAATAATGAACTATTTCATTATTCATTATTGAATATCAGAAATCAAAAATGAATAATGGACGTACTTCAGCGCGGTCATTTCATACTGCAGAGTATTAATCATATTATTTCCTATTAGAATGAACATGATAGAAAAAGACTTACCTTGGTGATTGGGGTACTGAAGTCGTCATTTTTGCAACTACCACATTCCGTAGTGGATGCCTGAAATCAAAGAATCATGTGACTTAGAACGCATTTATACATTGTATTAGTACAAAATTGATCGTTTGTTCCAAGATCGATCCTGCATGCTTGGACCATAGATGTATAAACCCATTTTTGGAATAAGTCATTAATTGAGTGTATGCCTTCATATTGATGTACACTTTGTACATTTTTTTACGTTATTTGCGTAAATTGAGAAAGAAATAAAGTAAAGGATACATGACCATTTCCAAATTCGTATAATATGAAGCTAATTTATGTCGTTATCTTTACTACTCAGACGGTAGCACGGCCCATGCGCAATAATTTCTCAAGAGTATCACCAGCCCGGTGGCCATGCTTTTTAAAGTAAGATACAACTCTGAGATTGATGCTTGAGATTTAAGTTTGCAAAACGAAAACGAACTTATCAAAGTCTAATGTAATACCCTCAATCTTTGCAGGTTTTTCTTTGAAAATATTTTCAATTTGACTTTATTAGTCAGCTTTAGACTTGATTCTTTTTAGTTTCGAGCACCACTGATGATAAATTATTACGCATGTGATATATATTCCGGAGCTTCTGAGATCACACCAGATTTTTGCCGGTGTTCGTGTTGCTCAGTTTGTAGTGTTTGTGTTTTCGTGATTTTTCGTTTTTTACCAAAATTTTGTCATGCAGTCTCTTTTCCATTTATGAGTGTTAAATTTATTCTCCCTCCGATATCTTTCGCATCTTTTATATAATAATTCAGGTATCTTGTAACTTTGTTTTAATACGTTGACAATAGCAGTACCCTCGAGATTAGTTATTTTCGTTGGTGCACTACATATATTTTTATTCATACTGAAAGTTTACAGTATTTTCGAAGCATCCGACTGTACCATACTACCAAATGCATTTCGACTGTATTTCTTCTACTGTGTTAATTATATCTTTTCTAAAAAACTATAAGATTTCAATAATTATCAATACTATAAATACCACGAACATAGAGGCTTACTGTGTAAATTCATTTATGCAAACGATTAAACTATCTCGAATTTAAATCGGAGAAGTTATTTGATTAGTTAAATTTAACCCCATATTGGGGGCCTCGGTGGCCGAATGGTCTAAGTAGTACAGCTACTGTATCATTTTGTGTTCAAACAACGTATGTGGTAGGTGCTTTTGACTCCAATCTCAATTTAAAGGACTGTCTGTTTTCCTGCCGAAGGTCGGTGGTTTTCTACGGGCACTCCACCAATAAAAACTGACCGTGGACGAGATAACCAAAAAAGTGGCGTTAATCACCAATCAATTTTAAAATGGTTAAATGTTCCAAATTTACCCTCTAACTTGATTCTCATGTTCCTATATATCTGTTTGAGTTGTCTGATCATATTTGATGCTGTTTAATTTAAAAAGGACAAGTTAAAGTGCACAATTTTCAAAACTTCGCGTCATACATGTATTTCTTTGCAGCATTGAGTAGGCCATTGAAAAAAACCAAACACACATCAAGAAACTATACCGTTATATGGAAATACTTGAGGTATACTTACACTATTAACCATGGGTCCTTTAATAGATTTAATTCTACTAAAGTCAAGGTAATGTCTTCTTTCTTCCGTGTGATGCCAATTGGTCAACTCCGAGAAGGAAATTGCTAATTGGATAATTATACTATTATTTTTTTTACATGACATAATTATTATGACAAAGATATCTGCTTAACGTTCTGAACAGTTAATAGTGAATTACAGTATGCATTGTCAAGCAGTATGTTTAGGTTTCATTAAAAAACTTTTGACAGATAAACAAGGTCGGATCAAGGATTTTCATTTATAAGATGTGTGATGTAATAATATCATAACAACATTTGACGAGAGTAACGAACATTTGCGGTTTTCAAAAGCAAATTAAAAGCAAAATCTTGTTTTACATGTTTTATTTTTCACATTATAACCACTTTAATCAACGTCTAGTAAATTAAAACATTCAATTGTTTCCGGGTCATGAATGCACTTTTTTTTCAATTTGTTTACTTCCTGGTATAAAATAATAACTTACCCTTTTCTTTCAACAGAAGACATATGGCCATTCCTGAAAATACTGCTATGTAAATTTTTATTCGGCTGCGACACATCTTCATCTTTTGATAATTTACGATACTAGCAGTATATTGCATTTTAGATAGCTTTGTTTACATGTTTGGGATAAATATTGAATATTGCATATGAAATATATAATATATTTAGGCCAAACAGAGGAAAATATCTTTAACGTGATACAAATGGTGAAAAAAATCGTTACTATTAGTAATTCTTTGCTTGTTTCTGGGTTTACCTTCCCCAAATAACATATATTTGATGTGTCCGCTTGTTTCTGGGTTTTGCCTTCACCAAGAACGCTCAAACACAAAACCTTGAAAGCCAAAGATGTATAGACATTTGAAAAGCAGAGAAGTTATATGATAAAAAAAAAGGACTAAAAAGAATCGTCAAATTCAAATTTAACATTTGTGAAATTCTTAAAGTATTCATTATTGTGATTATTTTGCATTTCGTGCCTTGATTTAATGTGTTTATTTTTGTTTCAATTGACCAGTTTCATGTGAAGGATGTCTATTATGGAGCAGGACAAGATTACTCTACCGGAACATCTTCATTCTCCAGTTTTTTATGTGATTCAGGTTACTAGTACTTAATATCTAGTTTTGCATGTAGTGTTTGATGTTTGTCTTTTTTCTTTGACAATTGTGTTGTCTATTTTTCTTCAACTTTTGATTTTTCATTTCCCCTTGGTATGTTCTCTCCCTTTTATGTGCAGTTGTCATCAAAATTAATTTTTAGCCAATTGTTGTAATTGAAATAACTGAACTTAGTGTTGATTTGAGAAAAAAAATCATTTTGGAAGTAGAAATTGCAACTAGGTTCTAGGTAGGGTTTCGTTTAGTATTGATTGATTGTTGTTTGCTTAACGTTCAGTGGTAAATATTTCATGCATGTTCAGCACGATTTTCGTATAGTAATATATTCCCATACTATAAGAATGAAAAAGGTAACAAAATGTCAATTCGTGTCAAATGTTGATTGTGTATTACAAAATCTAATCCCGCCTAAGGAAACTGAAAATACAATACCCAAGGTCTTACTATTCTAGTCATTAATTTTGTTCGTAATCTTTATTGATTGACTATGAAATAACACAGACTGCTTAAGATTTAGATGCAAACATATGGTTTGGATCAATACAAAATGTATTTTGAAAGATATTTCCTGTACATAAAACTGTTATAATGCAAGAGGACATTGACGCATGTTTTCAAAGTTAGTCTAGCATGAACTGAAAAAGGATTGCCTATTATTTTTGCATGTCGAATTAAAAGTTCACAGCAAAAAATTAAACCATTTTTTATTCAATTTAATGCAACTCTCAATGATCGGTAGATATCAGAAAATAATGCTCAAGATCAGCCCGAATCCAAGATGCCATATTGTTTGAAAGGTGTGTTGAACGAACCGTGTACTATTCTCCTACTTTCTTAATACTAATTCTCTGTCAGGACCATACTATTTGAAATAGGAGGCTGGAAGTGCATGTTCTTAGAATTCAGTAATACTTTGTCAAATTATTCATCTCATCATAAAACATTACTGGAAGAAAATATATTTGAAAAACATTGTGTGTTACCATGGTTACGGCAACCATTTAATTTTGGCTCTTTCTTAAGCCTTTTTAAGTGAAAAAGACCATTTTCCAGGATAAAAAAACCCCAATCCCTTATATATTGAAGGGAATGTATTTCCATGCATGCATTATATGCTTTATTGATAATAAATCTTGCTACATCTCATTTATTCACACGAACATGTGCTTATTTCAGAAAATCTACAATTTGAGAATTTTGCATTTTTTAGTATAATTTAAGCTATCATGAATAAATTCAAAAAAAAAATCAAATAAGTTGAGTATCTATGGACGACCCATTAATCGTGCTAAAAATAGCGTGCATCAGTATTTGGTCAAATTATGCCAATAAAATCATAATTTTGTAAGTTTCTATAGCCGAAAGGAGCAAAGTACCACAGAAGGAAGGAGTGCTGCAGTTTCCAACGGCACGGACCCAGGAAAAGTGTCTTTATATTTTCCGAAAAGGTTATTCTTCATGTAAATGAATTGCATTTCTGTACTAAAATTTGCTCATTAAAAAAAAAGTTGTTCTTCTGTGTTTAATTCCACTAGCAACAACTCTTTATTGATACCCGTTTATTACTTGTTGTTGTGCTTTGTTATGATTCTAAATTAATGTGTGTTTTATTTAGTGTAAATAAAAAAACATCAACCATTTTTTGTTACTTTCGGTATGCTCCCAATTGATATTATCTGAAATAATTATTGGATGTTAAACAAAAGTAATCATTTAACGAATCAATCAAGTTTGTTGTAGAGTTAAATTGGCTAAACAATTTAGGAGATATATATGCATATTTGTATGCAAAACCCTTTTGTTATTCAATGTAAGATAATCCGTTTACACAGAAAATATGCATTTTATAGTGTAACATACTTTGAGTGGATAAACGTTGTACTTTGAAGTGAAAAATCTGAATTAAAATACATGTAATGTGTAACTTGTGAGGCATTTATATCATTAAAGGGACATTAGCTGTCAAATTCATGTTCACCGATTGGACCCAAATTCTCATACTTGATTTACAACATACTAAAACGTATATTCAAAGTCCAAAAGAATAAATAAACGATGCACAGACTTGTTATAATAAATCAGCATTTCGTCCGTATTTTAGACTAGACGCCATCTGATCATCCATCGATATGACCTTTGAAGACTGCCGACGGTCATATAACCCATTATAAACATAGATATTAATATGTATAGACAGGCGAGCACGTGCAATCGTATGATGACAATTTTTCTTGGTCTGCAGTACTGCTGTTTGATTTTAAGCTATGAATTAAATAATTTATATATATATATCATTGAATTAAATAATTTATATATATATATCATCGGTTTACCTATATCAGAATGATTTTTTGAGGGGCCGGATCAGTCAACGAAATGGTTACTCCTGGTGTATCCTTGTTTCACTTTCAATGTTGACATTCTTTTTTTTTTAGTGAATGGACTGCAATAAAGTCTATCGACAGGTTGTAGATATTCCTATGGGCACGAATTGCGCCCCTTTAAAAGCAGACTTGTTCTTGTACTGCTATGAAATACAGTTTATGACCAAAATCAGTAAAGACCCGTCTAAATTGCATTTAATTGATAAATTCAACAACACTTACCGTTATCTTGATGATATTTTTTCGTTAGATAATCAAGAATTTTCTAAACATACTGCCGACATTTACCCAAAGGAACTTACTTTAAATAAACCAAATATAAACGGTAATAACTGTACATTCCTAGATTTAGATATTTCAGTTTCACACGGGAAACTCTACACTAAAATTTACGACAAAAGGGATGATTTTTCGATCCCTATTGTTAATTTCCCTTTTTTGGACGCTGAAGTTCCTTTGGCACCATCTTACGTGTTTATATATCACAACTCGTTCGCTATGCCCGTGTCTGTTGTGACGTTTTGGATTTCAATTCAAATGTAATCTATGTATCACTGGTAAATCATTAAGTCAGCGGGGGTTTCGTTACCACAAATTACTTAAAACCTATACTAAATTCTTCCATAGATATAAAGATTTGGTTTTGAAGTTTGGTTGTACCTGTAGAAAACTTATTTCAAACGGGATAGCACATCCTAATTTTTACGTCGATGTTGTTTAACGAGCCCGGAAATTTAGAAACGATCCGGATAAACTTATCGATCCTTTAAATACACTTATTCTAAAAGGTTACCAATTCAACACTATAATTAGATCTTTGAATATAGTTTTTATTGGTATTAATATTGATTTTGTCATCAGTAAATTAAAATCAAGCTAAATATTATTTTTTATATACATATGCATATTCATGGCTCTACAATCTGTCGATACCTGTATCTTGGCATTGCACACGGTCATATTTTTCTCTGACTGTTTATGACGTCTTTACACTAACTCCATTGGATGTTGGATGTGTACTGATTGATATTTTAGTCTTAGATGCATGATTTTTTTTATTAGTTGTTATTGGCTTTGAATTAGCTGTCAGTAACTGCGGGTACTCTCAGATCTGTACTAAGTGTCTTTTTGTTGTGGGGATGTATAAGTACCCTGCCACGTCCACTATGTGTTTTTGTTACTTTTTTTGTGCTTTGTATCTATCTGATGAGTTAAACCCTTTTCAACTGATTTTTATAGTTTTTTCATATGTTGTACTGTTACACCACTGTCACAGGTAAGGGGGAGGGTTGGGCGCCCGCTAACATGTCTAACCCCGCCACATTCTATATGTGCCTGTCCCAAGTCAGGAGCCTGTAATTGAGTGGTTGTTTGTTGCTGTTTATCATATGCGTTGTTTGTTTTTTGCTTTGTACAGTTAATGTATTGTTCTGTTGCACCAATGTCCCAGGATTAGGTGAGGGTTGGGCGCCGCTAACATGTTTAACCCCGCCACGTTGATCAGGCCGTTATTTTTCTCGTTTGAATCTGTTTTACATTTGTCATTTCGGGGCCTTTTATAGCTGACTATGCGGTATTGGCTTTGCTCATTGTTGAAGGCCGTACGGTGACCTATAGTTGTTAATTTCTGTGTCATTTGGTCTCTTGTGGAGAGTTGTCTCATTGGCAATCATACCACATCTTCTTATTTTTATACATGCTGAACACATGCGCAACCCATCTCCACTAAAGGTCAAATTAAAGTTTGCATGAATACGGTTTTAAATTATTGAATTTCAATATCACATGATCGATGTTTTACCTTATTTTGACGAAGATGAACCAAACTGACAGTCAATAGCGAAATATTATTTCTTTATTCCGTTAAAAAATGTTTAAAACAAAAACAATCAAATTTTAATTTTTTGTTTAATTCATAGCTTATGCCCTTTTAACGGCTCGTTTTAAGTAATCATTGGATCCACGATTTCCATTAACAATACGGCAATATAAAAATCTATACTTATAAATTTACAAAATTCCCGGATGAAAAACATAATAAAATATTTAGAAACTAAGGTTCCAACTCCATCAGTCAAAGTTGATC